AGGCTCTAAGTCTCAGCCTCACTGCTATATAGTAAGCCTTGAAATCAAATGGAGTGATTCATCTTTTTAAAAAAGTTGTAGCTACTCTTGTTCCTTTGCTTTTTCTTATGAATTTTGGAATATCCCTTGTATCTTTAGAAAAAAATCGTACTACAATTTTATTTAAATTGCACATGAATTAGGAGCAAATAAACATTTTCACTATTTGACTCTTCAGTAGACAGAAGATAGCTACCTCTTCCCATTTAAAATTTACGTTTTGGGCTGGCCAAATAGCTCAGCCCATTAAAACACCTGCTTAGGCAGAAGCAGGGCTGGTTTGATCTCTGGAGGCCTGCTGTGCTGGCCCCGTCCCCGGGGTACACTAAGACCAGCTTGAGCATGGTAGTGCATGCCCGTAATCTGAGCACAGGGTAGGCTGTAAACAGGAGGATCACTAGGAGTGGGAGTCTGAACTAGTAGTGAGACTCTGTACACCCTCTAGATCCTTCCCTAAAATACAAAAATAAAAAATAAAATTTACATCTTGTTTGTGATTGTCTAATTTAGCTGTTTCCTGTGATGCTGCAGATTTAGGCCTTATATGCTAGGTAGTTTCTCTACCACTGACCCACAGACTCAGATCTCCTTGTTTAGGTGTTTGATTCTTTCATTAGTTTTCAGTATACATATCATGTATATCCTTTATTAAAATTACATATATATACATTTTTATTTTAAGCTATTGTGAATGATGCTATATTTTTTCAAGTTTTGGTATGTTCGTGTTCTTACAGATATAAAATAATTCGTTTTGTTTATCTTGTTTTCCATTACCTTTACTGAACTTACATAGTAGTTCAGATTTTTTTTTTCTTTAACTGCTTTGGTTTTTTTTACCTAGACCTTCATGCCATCTGGAAACAGGCTCACTTTAATTCTTCTGATCTATGTCTTACATTTGCTAGAACTTCTGTCACTATGTTGAATACGAGTGTTGAGGTGGAACTCTCTTCCTTACTCCCATCTCAGAAAAAGATGTCAGTCTCTTCCCAAGAACGGTGGTAGTAAGCCGCTTGTCAATGCTCTTTATTAAGTTGAGGGTGCTGACTGACCACTTAAGTATTTCTCTGTATTCTGAAAGTTCAATTATGAATGGATATCAAACTTTTTATGCCTTTTCTACATTGAATGATTATATGGCGTTTAATTTTTTGATATTGTTTTTGTCTGATTTTAGTATCAAGGTAATACTGGTTTATAAAATAAATTGGGAAGTTTTTTCCTTATGCATTATTTTTTTGAAAGAAAAAGTGTAAAATATTGGGTCAGGGAGATAGCCCAGTAGAATAAGTACTTGCCTAGTGAGTACAAGGTCCTGAGTTCAATCCCTGGTACTGCAAAAAAAAAAAAAGAACAAACGAACTAGTGTAAAATAGGTCTTTCCTCACCACCCTGTTGTGGGCTGGAATTGAACCCAGAGTCTTTGCATTGAGCTACATCTTTAGCTATAGTTTTTAGAGGTGTACCAGACCATTTTACTGAAACTTACCTGAACCTGCAGATTTCTTTTTTAGAAGGGTTGTTTTGTTTTTGTATTTTAGGGGAGGTTCTACAGGGTGTTCTGATCTAGTCTCACAACTAGATCAGACTCATAGTGATCCTCCTGTTTACAGCCTCCCAAATGCTGGGATTACAGGTACACGTGACCACGCCCATTCTCAGGTTCCTCTCAGAGTGCCACGGGGGTGGGGCCTGCATAGCAGGCCCAGGGATTGGACCCCTGGCCCCTGCGCCTGCTTTCAGGTGCTTTAATCCGCTGAGCTATTTGGCCCACCCTCTTTTTTAGAAGTTTTTATTTTATTTTACTGTATTTTTTTGGTTGAATTGTGTTCAGGGGAGGTTTATTTTTTGTTTTTCGTGCCAAGGACCAAACCCAGGGCTTCCAGCTTGCTAAGCAAGCATTCCACTGCTGAGTCAAATCCCCATCCCCTTTTTAGAAGTTTTTAAACTTTGAATTCAGTTTCTTTAGTACTTACAGGGCTCATCAATTTACTGTATGTTGTGTGTGTAACAGTATTTGTACTTTCCAAATAATTGGTTTCGAAAGGTTAAAAAAACGAGGCAGTTGAACCCAACCAGACATATTGACACGAGTAAAAGTAGGTTTATTGGAAGCTCACGCGGAGAGCTGTCTCACTGGCCAAAACAGCACCAAAGGGGGGGGGGGGGGAACCACATGTATGCATGAACATTTATATGGGAATGCCAATATACCCTACTTATGGGGGGGGGGGGTGCAGAAGACTTTATAGGAGGATGATTGCGGGCTGGACCGGCCAAGTCACAGGCGGACATCATTTGTCCTCCTAATGGTTGAATGAGAGTCAGGCGGACCTGTTCTGTGGTTTTGGGTTTGGCTCTTTGTGGGACCAAGGGGGAGAGTTTGGGGGCAGGGTGCCTGGAGAGCTTAGAGTCCTGACCCATCAGGTTTATTTTATCTAAGTCATCAAACTTTTATAGTTCTTCTGATGTCTTCAGGTCTGTGACAGTATCTGTTTCATTTCTGGCAATTTTTAGTCCCCTATCCATACTACTATTGACCTAACAAATTGTATTGATCTTTCCAGATCTTTCCAAAACCTGCTCTTGGTCTCATGTTTTTTTCCTGTTTTCCGCTTGTTCGATTTTCTACTCTTCTCACTTGCTTTGATTTAGATAATTGATTTGCAACTTCTTTCTAGTGTTTGCATCTCTTGTTATGTGTTTATCTCTTGGTACTGTTTTGTTTCCCTATTAAAATTTTTGATGATAATATCACATGTTCATTTTCAGTGTAATATGCTTTTTGGCTTCCTCTTACACTTAATGTATCCAGGGATCAGTTAGGAGTTCACTATTTGGTTTCTAAGAGTTTCTTACAGGTTTATTGTTACCTTTCTGACGTTAATTTCTAGGTTGATTCTGTTGTGGCCAGACAGCACACTCTCATTTCAGTTGCTTTTAATCGTTGAGGTTTGTTTTATGGCTCAGGATATGGCATATCTTAGTTGATGTTTTTTGGGCCCTTGTATATGTATTTTATTGTTAATGAGTATTCTGTTTGCTGTCACTAGAATCTTTTGGTTGATATTGTTGCTTAATTCTATTTTTGCTAATACTCTAATTTTTTATGTCAGAGAGAGAAGTGTTAAAATCTCCAACTAAAATTGTGAAATTTGGGCTGGGGAGGTAGCTCAGTAGAATAAATACTTGCCTGGCAAACATAAGGTCCTGAGTTTAATCCCCAGTACCACCAAAAAAATAAATAAATAAAAAAAATAAAATAAAATAGTGAATTTCTTTTATTTGCTTCAAGTTTGTTAACTTTCATGTATTTTGTATCTATTTGGTACATACTGTGATTGCTCTCTCTTCCTGGTAGATTTGCACTTTTATCGTTATGCAGTTAATCCCCTTCTCTGATCATTTTCTTTGTGCTAGGTCTATATTAGCTGACATTAATATAGCTATGGCTCTTTTCTTTTTATCAGTGATATATTTGATTGATGATACATCATTTTCTTTTATTGAAAACTGGACATTTTGGATATTATATTATGAAATTCTGGATCTCATGTAAACGTTTTATTCTGGCTAGGTTCTTATAATAAATACCACTCTGGCAAAAGAAGTAGAGACTGTGGCCTCATACTGTCAGGTGCAGGTAGAAATGGAATTTCTTACTCTTCCTTTGACATCCAAGGCAGGATGCTTCTTCTTACTTGGTGCAAGAAAAGCAAGAGTTAAGGTTCCTTGTAGGTCTCCACTGGTGCTCTTGTCTGAAAGGGTAGAGTGCCATCCTGTTTCCCATGTGCCCTCCATTGAACCTGTGGAGGCAGGGTGGTGGCCTTGTTGCTAGGGGGTAGTGGAGAAAGCCACTACTTATCCCAGGCCGCTCTGTACCACTGGCAGACAACGACTGCTATATTCTAAATGTGCAGGCTTTAATTATCTTTAGAAATGTATCCTAAAAGTGTATGCCTTAGTAACAGTATAACTTACTATGCATGGTAGGCCCTTACATCACTGGTTCAGGATAGTCTTTGCCAAATTTGAAAATGCCAGGGGCCTGAATTACTAAGTACTAAGATTCATCATTGACTGGAATACTGAGTCCTGGTAGCTGGGCCAGCTGATTTAGTCAGTGGAAGTTGGGTGGGCTCTTAGAGGAGGTAGAATATTAGATCTTGAGTGGTACTTGGATGGACTGTGTGGAGGGAACACACTTGATATGGTGGCATTTGGGAATGGTAATTGAAACACAGCTATAGTAAGGGGATTCAGAAGTGGCAAAATGAGACAAGAGTTGTATCAGATTGTTAAGCATTTCTGTTTCTGCCTCTACGTAGTAGAATTTCACAACCCCGTGAGAGTCAGAGGGCCACTGAGGTTTTTGAGTATTCTTCGTATTTAGTTCTTTAGTGTATTGTCTTTGGAAATAACATGTATTTCTTGTTTTCATGCTTTTGCTTATTGTACCTTATTTGAAATTAGTTGCTTCTGATTGATATCTTAAGTTTTTGTTCACTAAAACAATTCAGATTTATGACTGATCCACTTAATGTATTAATTTCCTCTATCTTGTGTACTGAACTATTAAAAACCACTCATGTCTCCTTTACCAAGCCATTTCCTAAGAACTGTCCAAAGACATATGTGACAGAGGCTTATGTGCTTTAAAAAAAAAAAAAAAAAGTATTTATTTTTTACCTTATAATCTCTTTTTGAGAGATATTTGTGATGTTTTTAGAATTTTTTAATGGGTTTTTCCTCCCTCAAACAAGTCTTGAGAAAATGCCCATTAATCATTCAGTTTTCTCTTTTATCCCTTTTTCCTTTCTTTTCATTGGTAAATAAAAGGCAACAAGTTTGTCAGAGAAGTTTAGAGCTAAGATATCTTCATAAACTATTTTTTTCTTATATAACTCATAACCTAAATTAATTTATAATTTTCTTGATTGTATGTTTTTCTGTTTAAGGTGTGACTGCACAGAAAAGTTACAGAACAAATTCGATTTTTTACGCTCACAACTGAATGATATTTCGTCATTTAAGAATATTTACAGATATGCCTTTGATTTTGCAAGGGTAGGTGCAATTTCCATGTTTAGTGTTTGTAATAGTTTTATATCTTGACCACACTCAGGAAAATTTTTTTCACTCATATTTTAGGATAAAGATCAGAGAAGCCTTGATATTGATACTGCTAAATCTATGTTAGCTCTTCTGCTTGGGAGGACATGGCCACTGTTTTCAGTATTTTACCAGTACCTGGAGGTAGGTTTTTCGTTTTGAAACTTAATCTAGTTAACATATACTTTTAGTGGGGAATGGTTAAATTTTTCATACTGTACTTTTAAGTAGTCTGCTTAAGTAGTGAAAAAGTTGTTAAATTATGTACATATTTGCCACTCTTAGGCATTCATTCGTGTTATTTAATGTATTCTGTACATAAGATGCTCATGGCGATGTAGCTCAGCATAGATTGTATGCTGTATATTAGGTCTATACTTCAATTCCTAACATTATGTTGAAAACGAGAGATTTTTATGCCTCATTGCTCCTCCCGTGTGAAAGGCTGTGTTTTACTAAAGGCATTCTTCATACAAAATTAGCTTCTTGATTTTTTCATAAGAAAGTTGATAACGTGCGTATCTCAAGGTTTCATAAGAAAGAGTCGATACCGTGCATATCTCAAGGCCCTAAGGGAGCTTCCTGGGCAGCACGCTTGGGGCCTTCCTGTCGCTGTCCTGTTCCTCAGTTTGTTCTCTAATAAATTTTCCTACTCTTAAAAGCATTAAATTTACTTTTTTCTCTATCTTAGGCAGAAATGTACTTAAGAAAACCAAATTATAATAAAACTTTTTGTATTTAGACTTAATATAAAGAAATACAAGGAGCTTTAATACTTTATAAAGACATAAGAAAGTACCTGTGATATGGCTAATTGTATTGGTTACTAAAAATATGCTTAGTTTATGAAATATTTTTCTAGGTGTTTTATCATACCACTAGAGGCAGTGGTTCTAGGGACTTTCCTTTTTTATTGCATTCTTTGTCAAGAATGTTTTAGAGCTTTTTAAATTTCAGTTTTCCTTGTATAGTTCTCACTTTTTTTTTTGAATAAACGTGCTGTTTTCTTTTGATTGTTTAAAGTTTATAATAAAAGAGTTAGGAGATGAGCTTTATGCACAACTAAATCGTAAGCCAAATAAGGAATATAAAAATACTCCAGGGATTTGAGAAGAATGGCTATTTTTAAACACTTGTAAATGTACAGGCCATTTGGTACTATTTTTTAAAATCATTGTACCATTTTAAATTGTTTTATTCAAATCTAGCAGTTGAGGAAATAAGTTCTTAGGCAATTTTCTCAGATCACTCATCTCTTGGCTGAGGTGGGACTTGAGCTCAATCCTGTGTTCTTTTCAGTCACTTCTATATATACCAGCTTCAAAGCAGCTCATGGGAAGAAGTGACTTACTGAGAAGAAATATAGGAACATGCTGGAGAAAAATATTCTTTGTTTGGTTTTATTGGTAGCTTTACATGTATATAAATATGTAAAAATTGAGTTGTGACGTTCTTAAATCTACTACCCTTATTTTTATTAGTCTTCAGAAGTAAAAAAAAATGGAAAAAATACATGGTGTTAACATGTGTATGCTCTTAAAAATTCTCTTAAACACACACACACACACACACACACACAGAAGAATAAATGTTTTAGGAAAAAACAAATCACAGATTCCCTAATAAGTGATTTTGTTCTATATTACAAATGTTGATGTTGTTTTCCACAGCAATCAAAGTATCGTGTGATGAACAAAGATCAGTGGTACAATGTATTAGAATTCAGCAGAACGGTCCATACAGATCTTAGCAACTATGATGAAGATGGTGCTTGTAAGTATAATGTATTCCTATAGAAATGAATGTTTTAAAAATATTAAATGAGAGAATGCATTTGTGTATTATTAGCACACAGGGGTGTGTGCGTATGTGTATATGTGTGTTTCCTACAGTGTTGGGGGTTAATCGCGGGGCTTTGCACATGCTGGACAAGTGCTGTACCCCTGGGCCTACATCTCCAGTTTAACGGGAATGTGTCAAACATACTGGTAACTTATCATTTAACAGGGAGTAAGAGGGGTAGACAGACAGTTTGGATTCAACAATATTATAAAATCTATGCTAGTAATTGAAGTATTTTCCATTTGTAAGTAACCATTTCCTTAGTAACTAAATTTATGTGCTAATTTCTATGTCTAGATACTGCTTGTTTCTTGCTTTTCCTACATAACAAAAACATAGGCCTGATTTTAAAAGTAAGAAAGCAAAACAAATCACTTATAGTAGAAAAAGCTTTAATCTTAGTACTTGTTGACAGTGACATATGATAGGATGTTAATAACTTCCGTCTAAAATTTGATTTGGAGTATGGTGATAGTGAAGTGGTACACTTTTTGTAATCCTGTGGGTTCAAATAGCAGCACTCTTCAGGGAAGCGGCTAGAATGCCATAAAACAGAATTTTAAAAAGTGAATAATTAGATACGCTGAATTCTCTAGAACTGTAGATTGTCATTTTGGTGCGTACGTTGTTTTAACATCTGAAGGGATTCCGTGGTGCCATGCTTGCTTATAGATGTGATGTGACACTGGGCACTCACTTCTGTCACACTGAAGTGATAAGATACTGAGAACGTCACAGACTTCTGAGTCCCTGCACATGTGGTGTTCTATGAGATATAATAAAATTTAATATTATTTTAAAGAAATAATTACCTTGTAGTAGTAAACTGACAGCCTGAGGGCTATATATAGTTCTGCAGATATCTGTATTCATGTGTGTTGAGCCACATTTAAAACAAGACTTTGTATAAAAGTAAAACTTGTACATCTGTTTAAAAATTAAGAAAATTTGACAGAGCTCCTATTCCTTCATAGGACTCAGAGGTTGGAGCTAAGTGGTGGCCTTTGCTGAACTGATACCCATTTTGACAATCCAAATAATATGCCAGCTCCTGGGCTGTTCATTTGTTTTTGCTGTTTTTCTTACAGTGGAGAAGTGTAAAAAAGCAAAGGAAAAAAGAGACTACCTGAAGCTTACAGGTTTTGAAAATAAATAGGGGCAGGAATATTCTTTGCAGTATAGATTTTTCCCCCATTAAAAAAAACAAACAAAACATTCTTCTCACTTAAATTGCCTTTCTGGTTTTTGTAAGTGAGTGTGTAGATCATTATAAAAATATCTTTTTAGAGTAATAGATATTTATTAAGCATTTGCTTTATTTATACTATGCCTGCTTTGGTGGTAGGATAAATTTTAATATGGCCAATCCCCCATTAACAGAATGGTATAACAGAAATACTGCCTTACACACTTTTCATGCTGTTTTGTAATCAAATGCCAGAGTGCAATGAGAGAAGTTAATATTGGCCCAGCTGTTCGGCGGTTCAGCGAGTACCTGAGAAGGAAATTGCTGTGACTGTTTAGTATGGAAAGCCCTTTATGTTTTTAAGGGCAAAGCGGAAAAGGCTAAGAAAGCAGCAAAAAGTAGAAGGGAGCGGCTGGAAGAAGAACACCCGAAGGAAGGGTGGGTCAGGCTCTGTCACCACCAGGCCTGTATAAAGCCTAGGTAGAGTTGGAGAGAGGAGCTTGAGGAACTCTGACCTTGTTTTTTTTTTTTTTTTTTATTTTAGGGCCTGTTCTTCTTGATGAATTTGTTGAGTGGCAGAAAATCCGTCAAACATCATAGCAGGAACTGTTGTGAAGAAAATGCAAACTTTTTGATTCCTGTATGTGTACAAGCTAGTAAGTTGAGCAGGAAAATCCCAAAGGGTGCATTTTCATTCATACGAAAGACTTCTAGTACTTTTTTTTTCCTTTTTTTTAAAGGAAGTTTTCTTGTTACATGTGATGGGCATTGAACCACACCTCTTCTGAGACTGAATATTGACATTTTTGTTTCAAGTTATGTTTTTAACAATAAAGATTCAGATTTGTGACAAAGGCCTTAAAGTGAAGATGTCCCTTGAGTGTCAGAGTGGTATTTATTTTTGTAAATTTGAAATCTTGAATTTTTCAAGTTCTAACTCAACATGAATTTGGGGAATTTTAAAGATCTTAGCGTTTGACGAAGTAGTCTGCTGATGCCATGGCCCCCTACGCTGGTCTGCACAGCTGGGAAGGTTCACGCCGATCGAGTGGCGATGGCTTTCTGAGCAGCTGGTCGGTGCCACTTCCAGGTTGCAGCAGTGCTCCAACTAGCAGCTCTGGGGTGTCTGGGAGCCGCCACAGTCTTAGGCACACATGTCTTTTCTGAAGAGTTTAAAGTTGGAAGATTATGTCCAGTTATTTTTGTTTTTTAACCTTTAGTATTTTTAATATGCATAAATGAGCATTGCATGTATATTCCTAACATGAATTTTTAAGTTTTCTGTATTTCTGTCATTTAAAAAGTTTCTTTTATATTTGAAAAAAGTTGATAAACTAATGGTCTTAAAATCAAATATCTTTATAAGAGAACTTGTATTGTTGGTAATGCAGGGAGTTTCTGTGAGCAGTTTTGTTTGCCTTAAAAAATTAGGTCTGTTGTTATTAGATGGTCAAGATACATATAGGAGCAGATGAGGAATCTTGAGGGAGCTGCATGTAACTGCAAATTCAGTTAGGCCATCTACATTGGTAGCGTCACAGTTTCGCTGCTCATCCCAGTTTGAGATGGCAGCCTTTCCTAATTCACCAAATAGGCACCTTTGAGTTGGCAGTGGGCCATTTATGCTTCCTTTTCCTACCACGAGGTAGCCCAGGCAGAGGACGACTTCATTCACCTTCTCAGTGCACCACTCAGTATTTCTAATTTCATTATATAAGTAGAGAGAACTAAACAGGATTTTTTTCATATTATGGAAATGTATTGATTTAAGATAAACATTGCTTTGGATGATAAATATGTTTAATATGTGATTTTCAGTATTGATTACTTAATAGGAATTTTAAGCTTTATTGCTTTTTGGTTAGTGAACAAAAAGGAAATAATTACATGCCTTCTTAATGAGGTTATTTTGTACAGTTTTGTAAAACAGTACAGTAGTTGGAAACAATTTTCCTGAACATCTTATAGATAAAAATTTGTTATAATGTTCCTTTTAAGTATTCAAATGGATTTATTGGAATTAAGCATATTAACAGTGATAAGATTTAATCTTATGAATATTTTAATATATAAGTATTTAAATATTTAGACCTTTGAACTTATTTGACTCTTCTAAGGCGCAACTTTTAAACTTGAACATTGTCCATTTTTGTTTAATTCTGAAACAGTTTAAGTAAAATCTTACAAGATGTCAATTTATAGTCTCACCTAATAGTAATGTCTTTGTCCTCTTCACTATGAGAAAAATAGGAAACATTTAAAGGTGGCCTTTTAAAAATTGAAATATATGGAAACATTTACTTGCTTACCCAAGAATACCTTTAAGATTTTTTGAAGCTGAAATTTTAAAGCTTTTTTTTTTTTTTTTTTTTTTTTTTTTTAGAGCAACAACCTTCACCCCACCCTGGCTCCATCTCTTTCTCTTAACATATTTTACCTTTTTTTTCATGACCTCACTTAAGTTGCCCAGGTTAGGCTCAAATTTAGGATCTTTCTGTGTCTGCCTTCCAGGGTGCTGGGATTAAAGACATGTGATATCTTTTGGCTTTTGCCTTCTTAGAAGTTGTAACATTCATCTTTCTTAGAGGCAGATTTACTTGTTCTTATTCTTCAGTCAGGGTGTTTGGGGGCTGTGTCCCTTCTTTCCTTTCTTGAGTGTACAGCATTTAATTTATAGAAAATCTTTAGATGTTAAATAAACAGGACAGTATTTGGGAGCCTAAACTATAAACAAGAAATCTGTTTTGGTTCTTTTTATGACTAAAGTGCCTTCCCAGGAGTTCTGTTGTGAAACTTTCAGATTTATTTCCCTTGTACAGAATGTAACACTCTATGGTGCTTTATAACATGGAGTTGACTTGCTTCTTCTAGAATAGTATCCAAATGTAACACTACTGAAGGCAGTGGTCAAGTCTCAGCTTGGAGGTCTTCCCTCTCAACCCCTAGTGATCCCTTGGGAACAGTAATCTGTACTGAGCTGTGAGAAACTGCCAAGGATTCAGTTACATAGTTGATGAGAAAATGGCATATTGTGTGCCCATCTAAATCTAAGTGGCCATATTTATTTCCTATTATCTAATAATTGTTGTTTTTAAATGCTGCTCATAAATTTCTTGATAGTACATTTTTGACAAGTAGTATTTTTGTAAAGGATAGGTTTTATTGAGTTAGTTTTACTCTAGATTGTCTGTTGGGATTTAAAGGCTTTCCCTGGGGATGTTGGGTAGACCCTGAGGAGCAGATCTCTTAAATGCAAATGCCTTTCATCTAGCAAACCAAAAAGCTACCTTCACGACATTGAATGCCATCGAGTGGGGGAGGGACAGGGATGAGAGCGGGGTAGAATTTTGAAGTAATGTGAGCTTCTGAGGCACACAAGGTGTACTGAAGCGCTCAGATGCAAGGCATCCGAAATCTATTGCTGACGAAATATTTCGCTTTGAAGTATTTCTCCAGCAGAACGTGTCCTTTCTGTGATTAAACGATGTGCTGACAGCCGCGCATGCTTACTTTGCGGAGCAAGCAGTAGTTCTGACCTGCATGTTGGACGTGTTCCTGAAGAGGCACATTTGGTACTGCTGTGACAGCCTGTCATCAGAGAAAGCCGCTTCTGCTTTGAAGGCTGCTACAGCCCGAAGCTTTGTGGCACCTCTCGTGCCTTCTGAGTGTCCAAAGCAACACAGAAGTTGGCAACTTTTTAATGTATAATTTAAATGTATTTCTATATTGAAGTAAGAGAACAGGCAAAAAGTCAATTTTGTCATTTCTTGGGTGACACAAGAAATCATCACAAGGAAACATTTCAAGCAAGGAAGTATTTTCAGGAGCAAAAAGAAAATTTCACTAATTTCTGCAGTGGAAAAAGCTAGTATAAATTATTCAGTATTTTAGAACAGACAATTTTTTTAGTGACAGTAAGTTTACGTCATGAATATTTGCTAAATACCATGCAGATCGCTTAGGATTTAGTCTTTATTGTTAATAGATCTAATTACCCATGGTTATACTGTGGAAGCCCTAAAAGCCATTTGGTAGCACCATAGTAGCAGTCTATGGTAAACTAAACAAATTGTGGGAAAATGAATTGCTCCAAAAGCCTGTTGCATTTCTACGCTCTTGTCTTAGGTGTCCCGGTGAAGTACTTTTCTGATCATAACTGGTATGGGTTCCACATGCTTCCCTTAGTAAATTGTCACTAGTGCTTGATTGTAGACATTTGTCTAGTGAACTTTACTTCAATAGGGCAGACCTTTTAATCTTTCAAATATATTTATTTACCTTTCCCCAAACACTAGTCTTAATAAAACTGATCAAGAATAGCTACGTTCACCTTGTAGCCTTCTGCATTCTGTAAGTATGCAGAATTATGTAAATGTAACATAATTTTTATTGAGCTTATGTATTTTATCTATACTAAGTCATACAAATGAATTGGCTTATAGCAGGTTCATACAGTTATTTTTAGCTGCAGATGTAGAATCACCTATTTGGGATTTATAGTCTCTGAAACTACTTCACATACTGAGAGTTGATAGAAGTATGTCTGAGAACTTGAGCTTGATTTCCCTTGCCACATCCCTGTTGTGTCACTTTTAGGCAAGTCACTTGGCCTCTGACATCTTCACCTGCTTCTGTAAAATAACAAGAGTAAGGCCACTTAGCATTATGATGAAGTTCAAATCGGCCCTACCTGCATCACTTACTGGCTGTTATGTGACTATACTTTGGTTTTTGAACCCAAAAAAGGTTTTTACAATAAGAATTTCTATGTTGTGTAAGCAAATAGCTGGGACTTGCTGTTTTATTATAAAATAAGTGTATTTATAGTTCTCATAGACTAAATTTTTAATTGAACAAATCCCAATTAAACCAAGTTTTCTAGAAGGCCTTAACGTGTAACAGAGCATACAATAGGTAACAGCTTTGTGGGATTTTCATTTGAATTATTAAGTAAAATACAGTTTATCATATGGTAACAAGATTACTTAGGGAAGTAAGTTGAGGGGAGCTGGAGAGTGTGAGCATAGGACTGCTGTTCTTTTAAACAGACTGAACACTGAAGTGATTAGACCTGAGGAACTGGACACTACGACTATCTGCAAGAATCCTTCCAAGTGGAAGGAGGAGTGTGTGCTAAGGCCATGAGTTCCTACAGTGTGCTTGGAGTGTTAGGAAACAGGATCAGGGTGACTAGAAAGCAAGGAGAGTATCAGAAAGTAAGGTTAGGAGAGCTTAGAAGTGGCAGTTGTGCTTACTCTAGGTAGTCAAATGGGGCATAATGATTTTTCTAAAACCCTAAAAGTGAGTGAGGTAGGAAGCCATAAGGGTTCCGTTCAGAGCAGGCATGCGGTGAAAAGATTTAGGAGGTTAATCCATCCGGCAGTGGAAAAGTCATCTGATTCCGAAAAGGTGTAAATAGGATATGCAGATGAATTGAATGTGGACTATAAGGAAAGGAGAATGCCTTAGAATTTTGGCTTGAAAAGCTCCAAAAGTGAAGGGGCCCTTTAATAAGAGGAAAAGACTTAAAAGGAACAAGATTGAGAGTTTAGTTTGGGGCTGTGTTGGGTGGATGTAATGCCTATTAGATGCCAGGAGGGTGCCATGGAGTTGGCCTTGGATGCTTGAGTCTGGAGTTCAGAGGTGAACTTCGGTTGGAGATAACTTGGAAGTCATCAGCATGTACTCCTATTTTAAATGGGGATGTGCATAGAATTCCATACGGAGTAAGTGTGGTGAGAGAATGTAGATCACCACAGCTATAAGCATATGGATCAGTGGTGCCACTTCATTGCTTAATCTCAGGATGGGCAGTATTGCCAGTTCTTTTATTCTGGTAGTTGAAAATTGTGGTTCTGATTCAGTTTGACAATTTCAGCACTAGAGGGCAGGCTTGCTCCTAGATTAGGAAGAATTTTAAGTGAATATAACCAAACAGTATCTGTGTTCATTATCAGTTAAGGAATGCATATGTTTCTCAAGCGACATGTTTACCATGTACTGTTTTTCCTGTTGCCTGGAAAGCCTGAAATAAGGCTAATGGTTCATTTTATTATGTTTAGGGCTGGTAATTGATGTTAGCACATTTGCATATGAAGTCCAAGGAAAACCAAATGTAGCTTACTTTACCAGTCTGATGTAGTCGACCACACATCTATATAGAACATAAGAGATTTTGAGACAGAAGAAATGTTGAACATAGAACTTTTATTCAGGAACTGTACTCAGCTCTTAACTTTATGCTGGACATTGTGATAGAAGTCAAGGCTGCAAAGCTGAGTAATCCCCACTCTAGTCAAACTTGATACTTCATGCTGCATCAACTTAAAAGTCCTTTCCCTTCAGTAATATGAATCGGAACCCATTCTCTTGATTGCTTCCTAGTAGTCATCATTCTGCCTAACTTGAGGTTGGTTCAGGTAATGAAAAACATCAAGGGATTGGGGACCTTTGCAAAGCAATAGCAATGAAAAAGCCTCCAAGACCAAAATACCCGTTTTCATACTTTTACCTTTACAGAGACGCTTTCCTAGTAACCTGTCTAAAGGTTATGGAGATGGTTCTATCTTTTGTCTCCTCTCCCTCCTCTTTTGTCTGATAGTTACAAACAGAAATAAACTGTTGACAGCCCCTGTGAGTGGAAAGTCATCTAGCCTTTTCATAGTCACTTGGGAGAAGAGAAGATGAACAAGTTGAATGGCTTCTGTCAGCTGGAGAAGGCCGAGGTGAAGTGGAGCCTTCTAGAATGAGCAGACCCTCTTCTTTTTTCCACTGTTCACCCAGAAAGTTTTCTTCCACATTGGCTGTGTGTACCTCTGGCCTTTTACAGGATGCCTACTTCACTGTGCTCTTTCTTCTAATTTCCTTGCTAGCAAAATCAAAATAATAGTCCTTACCTAATAGGATTGTTTTCAACTCATGTTTTTCAAAAACATGAGTTGGAATCTATAGGCTGGAATTTTTTCAAAAATTTAGTTGTCACACAATAGAATCAAATAAGTGGGGACAAGTTGACCCACTAAAACAATTAGAAGCTCTTAGGAAGTGAATGTCTAATAGCAATGATATAAATAAATTTGTATTACTTGTTTGATTAACATGGGCAGGATAGTGAAATGATTTTCCAGAAGGATCTGAAATGTGACTGACTGAGATGATCAGTTTCGAATGTGTTGGTCCCAAGCAGTCCGGTAAAAGTGGATTGATTATTAGCTTCATAGGAAAGACTTCTAAAAGAAAAATAAAAATACAACTACAATACTGTATCTTACTACATTGTTTGTTTCTGTTATGCTGTTAATTTTTAGAAAATTAAGTAGCAAGGCCCTTTTCCAAAATAACTTTTGTCTAGAACCACAAAATTTAAAACAAGCTCAAGTGCTCTAATTCAGGTAGGAGGCTCTTTTTCTCCTTCCTTAACATCCCTGTTACCATTAGTGTATGAGAAAATTAGGAATATGCTAGCACTCTGATTAGTGTGTTTTGAACACCAGGACTTTTATATCTGTACTCTAATATGCCAAGCATATGAACAAAATAATAGAGAAAATGGAATTTCTGTTTTATAATTTCTATTTCATTCTCTGCCAAGAGGTAGCTAGGCTGTTGTGATCTGAAATAAGATGAGAAATATTTCAACACTATTGGGAACATTTGTACTAGAAAGGTAGTGTATGATGTTTATCTTACATTTATTATTTGGAGATCTAAAGAATGGAGGAGATTGGTACATGAAGTAGACACAGACTGAGTACCATGGACTCACACTTCACTGACCCCTTTGCACATAAGGTTAAAACAAGAATACAGTTGCTGCTTTATATATGAGAATTATCATGGAGGGAACAGGTCTGTGTTAGTCATAGGTTTCCTTTTATGTCCACCTCATAATAAGGCGTTTAGTGAATGAGTGAAATTT